AAATATAGCTTAAAGTTTCCTGGGCCCATGGGGTTTTTGGATTCAAATAAATTTGCATAGTCATCAATGGCACAGACTTCCGGCTCCACCTACACCCAGAGGGCCCCCAGCCTTATCCCCTTAAAAAGGCTGGCAAGGTTTTCCGGGGAATCCCTCAAGGGATGCCTCACATGTCTCTTTTTGAACATAAGCATGTTCTTTAAGTGGCTGGCTCTTTTAAGAGCAGGTATCAAACTCCAGGCGTAGGCGATCAAGGCCAGTAGGGATTAAGGGGAGGAACGTTCTCAACTCTGCAGTCAGAACCATTCTGGCACCGAGTATTGGAAGCCAAGGGCGCAGCAGGTGATGGCATCTTTCATGTGGTTATGAAGTGGGAAGGTTCCCTGATTCCCCTTGCAGGACGTGTGGCAGGGGTGTGGCTCGCCTGTTCGGTCGCCCCGCTGCTCAAACCCCCTAGGGAAGGGGGAGCACGCAGACCGACAGGTGCCCAAGCCCAAGTGGGCACGTGTTAGCGTGCCCCTTTAGCCTCGCTCTCCCGGGACAGCCGTGCTCACTTACCCCGCCGCCGCCCCATCCTTTTCCTGAGTCCTGGACAAATCAGGTCACACGAACTGTTTGAAAGGTGATGAATGCGGAGGCTTTATTGAACATTCGAGGTGACTTTGAGCGGATGGGGAGCTGGAGTGGGAAGGTGGAGGGGTGCGGGGCTAATCTTCCCCTGGAGTTCCGCCATTCTCGATGGAACTCCTCTTGATGTTCAGGCGCCTCTTCCCTCCTCCTCTGCTGTGCAGCCCTGCTGCTCTCCACTGCTCTCCCCGCTCTGTTCCTGGGCTCCTCTCGACATTCAGCCGCTTGTGTGTGTGCCCGCTAAGGTCTCAGGTTTATATGGGCACAGAATCTGGGGCCAGAGTGGTCTCTCGGAAAATGCAACACTGGGGCAAAAACAGGAGTGCCTGTTTTCACTTAGGTCCGAGGACACAGACCTGAGTGTGGAGCCCTCACCAGGGACCCCACCCTTCTCTACCCAGCGCTTCCCTGCCCCCACCTACCGTAGCAGTAACTGGCATTCTCTAGATGGGTACCCTCAAACAGGAGAGGGGATCCTTCCTGAGGACCAAGAACAGAAATCACAGGCAGTCAGAAGCTGAAGCTAGTGAAGAAGGCAATGTCTCAGACAGCAGACAAAGGAGCATGGCGTGTGCTGGGAGCTGCTGGAAAGTGAATTGAAATTCCACCCTGCATCCTCTACCTTCGCTGAGGAAGTAATACGCCCTAACTAGAGTTTAGGCCAGTGTTTCTCAAAATAAGTTGCTTGGGTATATATGCATCTGAATAATTTAGGGGACTTACTGAAAATGTGATCAAATTTATTTCTTCTAAAGTTTGAATCCCATTGAAAACGATTTTGTCTAAATGCCTGTAGAAATTCACAGCTGATTACCTCCATTACATCTACTGCTTTTTACTGTTAGTTAATTGTTTGATGGGTATGTGAGGTCCCTGTGGTTTTGTTCTACAGTTACATTGATTGAATATTTCGAAACTGGGATCAATCCAGATTTTTAAATGATTTTTATCTCTGGTACATTCTTAAATTTAAAAAATTTTACAAAAAACTGGTCAATTGGAATTAGGGGAATAGGCCATGCCTGTATTCTATTAAAGGATAATTCCTATGTAAAACTGCAAATAGTGCTATTATAGTCTAAGAAAAATGTCAGCGTTGATATGGTTTGGCTGTGCACCCACCCAAATCTCATCTTGAACTGTGGCTCCCATAATCCCCATGTGTCATGGGAGGAACTCAGTGGGAGGTAGTTGAATCATGGAGGCAGGTTTTCCCATGCTATTCTCATGATAGTGACTAAGTCTCATGAGATCTGATGGTTTTATAAAAGAGAGTTTCCCTGCACAAGCTGTCTTGCCTGCTGCCATGTAAGATATGCCTTTGCTTCTCCTTTGACCTCTGCCATGATTGTGAGGCCCTCCCAGCCATGTGTAACTGTGAGTCCACAAACCTCTTTCCTTTATCAATTACCCAGTCTCAGGTATGTCTTTATTAGCAGCATGAGAACAGACTAATACATAGGGTGAAACTTTTGATTTTATATATATCAATATATAAAAATAGTCTTCCCACTAATAAGACTTCTTTCTTCTCAGATATGAAACTAACCATGAAGAAAAATATTATCAATACACAGCAGTCCTTTGTAAACATGCCCAATGTGATTGTACCAGATATTGAGAAGGAAATACGAAGGATGGAAAATGGAGCATGCAGGTAAATGCAAACATTTTCCCATGCATTTTTAATGTTAGCCACAGTTCTCTAATTTAACTAGGTTTAATTTCAATTTAGCTTTATAATTTGTAGCCTTGAACTTTGTAATATATTTAATTTAGCAAATTTATTTATACTTTGGGACAGCATGACTTGTCTAACAAATGAACATAGATTTTATTTATTTATTTATTTATGTATTTTGAGATGGAGTTTTACTCTGTTACCCAGGCTGGAGTGCAGTGGCACGATCTCGGCTCACTGCAAACTCTGCTTTCCAGGTTCAAGCGATTCTCCTGCCTCAGCCTCCCGGGTAGCTGGGACTATAGGCGCATACCAGCACACCTGGCTAAATTTTTTTTTGTACTTTTAGTAGAGGCGGGATTTCACCTTATTGGCCAGGCTAGGTTCGAACTCCTGACCTCAAGTAATCTGCCGGCCTCAGCCTCCCAAAGTGCTGGGATTATAGGCATGAGCCACCATTCCTGGCCTCAATATAGATATTACTGTGGTCACTTTTTTGGAAGCACCTATTAAGCACCTATGCCAAATATTTCTTTAGTCACTGGCAGGGCTTTTCCTCATGGGACATTTAGAATCTAAGGAGATGACATTGCCATAGATACATATAAAAAATATGCAGAGTATGAAATGCTGGCAATGTGATTTAAAAGTATAACTTAAAGTACTTACCCTATAAAAGAATATAATATATATGAATGTGTTCGAATTTACTTTTAGTGGGAGGAAACATTAGTTAGAAAACAAGTTAGCTCACACAACTGTATAATATGATCTAAGTCCCAGATACCACACTTGCTATTTGATAAATGTTAACATTAACCAACGCATCAAGCAATAGGAATGTGGAAACCTAGAAAGTAGTTTCTTAGTTAAATGTGTTTTACTGAATTATGCATATATTCTATAGAATTCTATGTATTCTGTATAGTTCTAACGTCACACTAACTAAAAATTGTTATGTGTGTTAGTTTGAGAAGAAAAGAAAAGAGGTGAGGTAATGATCCCCGTGGTGAGAAATGTTGCTCCTCCCCAGTGGTTGAAAACATTAACTCACCTCTCTCTCTGCCTCCTGTTGAACTGTAGTTCCTTTTCTGATGATGATGACAGTGCCTCTATTTGTGAAGAATCAGAGAACGAAAACCTTCATACAAGGGGTTCCTCTAGTTATAAGTCACACAGAAAGGGAGGACCGTCGCAGAGGTGAGCAGTATGATCCATCTCTCGGTACCTGTCTTTAACCATTTATGCCTAAAGTTGCAGTGTTTTGGTTTTTTGCAATCAAACCATGGCAATGACCTTGAGCAGTAGGATAGAAATAACACCCATGTGCTTGGCGTTCTAATAATCACACACTAGGTATAAATGGCTTTGTAAAGTGTTGTTTAGATAAAAGGTCTTTTACTTCTTCCACAGAGCAAGGTTGGCAAATGCCTCTGCTGTCTAGACACGACATGGGATCTCAGCAGGAGTTACTTCTGTTCCTTACCCATGCCCTCTCTTGGGAAATATTGCCACTGCCAGATGATTATTCACAATGGTGGGGTTCCAAGGTGTACACACTCTTGCTTCATTTTTCCTGAGACCAATGTCTGTCCCTTAAGAAACCCAGTCTTCTCTGATTTCTTGTTTCTCTCTGATTTTTCTTTCAGGGCCCTGAAGCAAGTACATGTGAGAGGGTTGGCTGTTATTCTCTAAAATGCTCCATCCCATTTGGTCCTACTTTTAGGAAATAGAGCACTGGAGAGAGGTGCTAGAAGTAAAAAGCAAAAAATCCTTAGTAGGAAATAAAGAAGTTGTAAAAACCTCAGATACCAGACTTGAGATTGCAGAAGGGGTGTGTGTGGTGTTGATGTGGAGCAGGGGTTCCCACCCTATTTGACATAATTACTTTTTCTTTGCTTTTTTCCTCCCCTTTTTTTCCTCTTTCCTATTTTTCTTCCCACTGATTACATCCAGCCTTCCCATTGTTTTTATTTATCTTTTCTCCTCATTTTATTTTCCCTGACAGTCTTAGGTTTCTTATTGGGAGTTACTGGCATTGAGGTTGGTTTACTTAAGCTAATTCTTGGAATGAACGTTGACTGATATGCATTTACTAATCACGTGTATTATAGTTCATTTTCATACTGCTGAGACTGGGTAATTTATTAAGAAAAAGAGGCTTAATGGACTCACAGTTCCACATGTCTGGGGAGGCCTCACAATCATGGTAGAAGGCCAAGGAGGAACAAAGTCATGTCTTACATGGCAGGAGGCAAGAGAGCATGTGCAGAGGAACTGCCCTTTATAAAACCATCAGATCTTGTGAGACTTATTTACTAGCACAAGAATGGCACAGGAAAAGCCCACTCCTATAATTCAATTACTTCCCATTGGGTTACTCCCATGAAATGTGGAGATTATGGGAGCTATAATTCAAGATGAGATTTGGGTGGGGACACAGCCAAACCATATCACCACGTTTGTTCAAGACACTGGTATTTAGCAAGTCATACTTCATGGAGGCTTATGACATATTTTTATGTTTTATGCTTCATGATATGTTTTTGAAATATCATCTAGGCAGTCTTTAGTAATGAGTAGAAACTGAAAAGAATTTGTTCTTTCAGACCATTTGCTTACCATGGACATTATACAGATGGTGACTATTGTGATTTCACTGCATGTTTTTTCATTCCCCAGGGAGCAGTACCTGCCTGGTGCTATTGCACTTTTCAATGTGAACAACAGCAGCAATAAAGAGCAGTAAGTACATTTACAATAGAAAACCAAAGCTTTGGTTTAAAGGAAACCAGTAAAAAGATAGGAATATATCTGAATCTGTTATAGAGCAAATATTTATTAAGCAAAAGATGTAATACAATGGCAATGATAGTCTACCATTTTGTTGTTTGGTTATCTCTGTTGGAAAAATTCAGCTACCCATATTAAAAGTAGTATTTGTCTATTTGTTCATTTAGTTGACTACATGTGGAAAAATCATGTCTATAGTGTTGTACATTTGGCTTTTTCTGTGGATGGAGTGACTGACAAAAACAAGTGGAACATATTACTCCTTTCCGGTTTGAGCCAATGTGTCTTAGATGAAGTTCCTCAGGAGACAGTTTCTGAGTTGGAGGCTCATATGCAGAGGTTTGTTAGGAACGGTCCTGGGAACGATATCTGGAAGGGAGCTGGGGGTCCGTATCGGGCAGAGGGAGAAGTCAAACTTCAGTGAATAGGGCTGATGTACAATGCGATTCTATAGGGAGCCCTCGAGCAGGGATGACCTTTCAGAGTTGTCCCATATTTAGGTAATAGATTTGGGCCTTTGTACCCACGCACAGTTATTGGAAAAAGGTTGACCTTAGAAGATGGAGCATAACCTTGAGCATGGTGGTTTCCTTCAGCCAAGGCCAGCCAGGGGAGAGGAAAAACTGTGAGCTGCCAGCAACCAACACTCTTGGCAAGTGGGAAATGAGTGCCTGGATTTTGTGCACCACCTGCATAGCCACTATACAGCCCACCTGTGTGCTGCTCAGATCCATTTTGTTTATATAGAAAATTCATCCCATCTGGGAATACCTACTCCAGGATCCTGGCTCTTCCTTTTTCCTGAGAAAGCTTATAAGAGGAAAGTTAATGGGATTAAACTAAGGTCTCTGATAGCTGCAGGTGGTTTTGTGGCCTCGGCTGAAATTCTTCACTCTCTCCTCTTCTACTCCTTCTAGAGTCCTCTCACCCTTGGCCAGCATGTTTGCTGGTCCAGATGACTTAGCTGGTGGAACAATACAGACACTCATCCCTGAAGGACTTGAGTCCTGGGTCACCATGCCTTTCTTGAGTCATGGCTACAGTACTTGCCCATTTGCCACCAAAACTGGGCTGGAACATACCAAAAGACATCACAGTGGACTACCTGGGTGCAAATACATCTCCCCTTCCTGAATTGTATAACAGTGGCACTGCCTACTTCTGATGATCAAGTTCAATAACTTTTGCCAGTGTGGTGACTCTCTTCCATGCCTACTGGTTTCTTAGCATGAGGGGCCCAAAGTGGCTGGGGAGTAGCCATAGCTTAATGTTTAATGGAACTCTGGCATTCCCTGGCAGATGCATCAGTCCTCTGGAAACCAGGACCTCTAGACCCACAGATCCTTAAGTTGCAGGAATCGGAAGCAAACCTTTCCTACATTTGTCACCCCTACTTAGACCTCTTAGTTCCCAGACCAATGCATTCTCTATAAGCATAGAGAACCATACAATGATCATTGTTTTAGCATATATACAGTATCTTAGAGGATGGCATCTTATCTTTTTAGAGTATAAACTTTATGATAGCATCTCAGCTATGCCTTCCAAAGGTCACTCCTTAACTATCATGTCAGTAGCTGATAAACAGTGTGCAGCAGTTGATAGGACCATTGGATCCCATACTCAGGGTCCAATGCCACATTTCCTTTGCCTTAAAGTGGGTCCTTGGTCCAAAGTGATCTTAAGTAATGTTTCCTATTAGTGATCATGCTTCATATGCCCCTAAATAATGGAACTGGTCAAAGTCCTGTGGCAAAAAAGCACGTAAATAGCCATACATATATCAATTCATATCAATATGTTTAATGCCTCTTCTATGGTGTCAGGAGTCCAACTTAGTTAACTCAGCATCAAGTGACTGATTACTTTCTTCAGTAGAAAGCACTGTATTGGAGTCATAGCATTGGTCTCTGTAACTGGCGGGTTCACTAGGAACAAAAAACAAACAAACAAAAACAAAGATTTTCAAACTTTGTGCTCATACTCATAATGTGTTCATTCAGTCTGCCTCTTCTCCAGAAATATTTTCCCTGATCTTTCCATCTTTTTCCATCCAGGTCCCTGACCAACCAGTCAAGGCGTTTGTGACTGCCCATGAGTCCTTTTATATTCTTAATATGAGCTATTTCTTTTTCGTTTTTTTTTTTTTTTTTGGAGACCGGGTCTCACTTTGTTGCCCATGCTGGAGTGCAGTGGTGCCAGGCTGGTCTCCAACTCCTGGCCTCAAGTGATCCTCCCACCTCAGTGTCCTAAAGTGTTAGGATTACTGGTGTGAGCTACTGCACCCAACCTGGGCTATTTCTTTTTCCATACAAACTAGATGACTGTATACTACTTGAAGCTGGGGAAATTAACCTCACATTGTCTTCTAAGACCACCCCTAAGTGAGGCTGTGATGCAGACACAGCCCATTACGGCTTGCATCCACATGGTAAACTGACCCATCTATGCAACATGCTGTATCAGCTGCTACTAAAGAACCCCACATATGGCCACAGTTGGGAGTGGAGAAATAGGTGCTGAGTGGAAAGTGACATAGTGGAAAATGAATGGGAATTTCCAACAGTGGAAAATGACATAAAGAAGGGCACTGAAGTCTGGGCATGGTGTCTTACACCTGTAATCCCAGCACTTTAGGAGGTTGAGGCAGGCAGATCACCTAAGGTCAGGAGTCGAGACCAGCCTGGCCAACCAACGTGGTGAAACCCCATCTCTACTAAAAATACAAATATTAACTAGGTGTGGTGGCACGTGCCTGTAGTTCTAGCCACTTGGGAGGCTGAGACAAGAGAATTGCTTGAACCCAGGAGGCAGAGGTTGAAGTGAGCTGAGATCATGTCACTGCACTCCAGCCTGCGTGACAGAGCGAGACTCCTCAAAAAAAAAAAAAAAAAAAAAAAGGTACTGAGTCACCTGTCTGGGCAGCTTACTTTTCCCTCTGGTTCATGCTCAGTCTCAGAGAGCTTACTTCATCATATGATGGATTGCTACCTTATGACTTGTTGTTTCTGACAGAATCCATCTCATGATGGGCATTCATTTTATGTCCATGGTTAGGTAATCCTATTTCAGGGTTTGATTAACAGAATGCCATTGATACAGATATAGAGGACTAATGTGATACTCTGAGAAATGTCCACATGATCCAGGTTGCTCAAGGCTGTTGTGACAGTGGGAAGGAGAGTTAACAGAGCCTTGGAAAAAGAGTGGAGATGTGTATAGTTTTTTATCCCATGCGAGTGAGAGCTATTTCTGTCCTCTTTCCTGAGAGTCATGAAAAATGACATTCACATAACTGACCCAGAACCTCATGTATGCAGTGTATATCAGGTGAATATATTATTTCCTGCATATGACACAGCAGCTGCAATTGGGGCTACTACTTCATTGATTTTTGCAATAGCCTACTACTGTCCGTTAGGATCCATTTGGTTTTTGCAGGGATCTGCTGATGAATTATGTGGGAAAATGAAGAGGGATCACCACCCTGCATGCATTAGGTCTTTAAGAATGACATTTTTTTTTTTTTAATTTCCCCAGGATGTAGTGTTGCTATTGGCCAGAGGGTGGGAAGCAGCTTCAGGGCTTCTACTTGGTAGAAGCTGCCTACTTCAGGGCTTCTTCTCTCCTCACAAGCCAAGGAACTAGTGGGGGTAGGGGTAGGAGTTCTGCCCATGAGCAATTATATACATTTCCCTTTTGTATTCAGGAATTATGTACATTTCACTTTTACATTTAGGAAGTGGAAAAATGATCACAGAGTAGGTCTCTGTGTTATTTTCCACATAGGACACGGCAGCTGCAATTGGGGCTACAACTTGGTTGATTTTGCAATAGTCTACTGCCATCCACTAGGATCTATCTGGTTTTTGCAGGAGTCAGATGATAAATTACATGGGAAAATTAAGAGGGACAACCACTCCTGCATGCATAATTTTATACAATTATGTACATTTCCCTTTTATATCAAGGAACTTATATACATTCTACTTTTATATTCAATAATTATATACATTTCACTATTACATTTAGGAACTGGAGAAATGATGGTGTAGTAGTCGGTCTGTGGACCCAGTGGAAACAACATAAGTCATATCTCCTCCAGGAATCTATTATTACTGGAACATCATATGCTCCTCAAGTTTAACTGGTCCCTAGGTCTGATGATACTTCAGTCCCTAGGTCTCAACATCCACTTGGATCCTGTGCCAAACAGTCTTCAATGTATCTAGGTATTCTTTTTTTCCCCCCAGAGTACAGTGATCTAAGTAATGGCCATAGGTTCTTTAGGAGAAAGACTAGGGAAATCATTACTGAATACATTTGTCATAGTGTTGCAGAGTCTTTTTTCATGGCGTCCTGGCTTCTCCTCTAGTCAGTGATTTTAGGTCTAAGTGCTGGCTTAGGTCTGGAAACTGTTGAAGGATTCTGATTTCTTTTTAACTTGAATTTTAATTAATCAATTTATTTTTTGAGATGGGGTCTCGCTATGTTGCCTAGGCTGGTCTTGAATTCCTGGGCTCAAGTGATCCTCCCACCTCGAACTCCCAAAGTTTTGTGGTAACAGGTATGAACCACAGTGCCCTGCCAGGATTCTAATTTTTTTGATGTAGTAGGTTGCCCTCAACCTCCTAATTATTCATTCCTGGTTTGTTTTGGTTGTATACATTAAACAGTACCCTAACTAGCTAACAGGCTTCCCATCTGTCTAGGAATACTGTATTCTATTAACCTCTTCCATAGCGGTCTATGGGTTAAGCCCTTTGGTCGCCATACCTACCTTAATGCTCATTATAATTACTGGACCAACCTTACTTCTGATGGGTAAGCACCGCCATTAGTCTCAGTTATTTCCAGATCCTGTTATCCCTACTGCTCTCAGAGAACCCAGTTCTGTAATGGCGTCTCCCACCATCAGGCCTAGCCTACAGAGGATAGCACCACTGTGCTTCTCAAAGCTGCTAGTGTCCCTCTCACCAGCACATTCCACGTTACTTTTGCATCCTTTGAGCTCTCTTTGAGAATAACCAGCTGGTAGGCTATATTCCAAACACAGTGTATCCACTTCAAGATGCCACCTTTCTGGGTCTTTTGATACCTTCCTCCACCATCTGCCATGGTGTTGTTTAATGCTTATTTCATTTTGTGTGGGCCATTATCTTTTCCAGGCTTCCAAGAGCCATTTGTGTAGTGTGTCAACATCATCCTTCAGGATCCATTCTAGGCTGTCAAATGTTGATTCACAGACATGTACTCCCACAACAGTAAATTCTCCCTTATCCAGTTTTATGGTCTGTCCCTGTTTGTACATGACCATTTTAGATGTTAAGCCTCGCCTCACTTGTCAATCTTATCTACCATTTCTTCTCAACTGTGGCTTTCCAGTTCTCCTGGTCATTCTTACCCAGATTAAGTCCACTGCACTTTAGAAATTTTCCTGCTCTAATATCCTCTCCCTGCTCTACTTCTCGAACTCTTACTCATACTTCGAGGCCTAGCTTTAGACCTACCTCCCTTTAAAACCCTTTTCTGACTATCCTAGTGGTAAGAAGATACCTATTCATTCATATCTGGATAATGAAATTTCCTAAGACATCTGAGCTGATAGTGGCAGCCTGATATAAACCCTAAATCTGTCTGACTTCAGAATTCATTCCCCTGCTGATAGAGAAAGCTAAGTGTGGAAAGAGGCACTAGTTACACAGTCTCCACTCAAGAAGAAATTGTGTGTAGAGAAAGGTGGTCTTAAATCCAGAGAATTATTCTAATAATTGAGACTCCACCATATTACGAGAGAGCTTGTTGATTACTGGTGAAAAATGGCTTCAGTCAGGGTTATCTCCTCTAAAGAAAATTGATGGTATTTTCTTAAAATTCTCAGTGACTATTTTTAATACATGAACACTTTCAAGGAACACTATTTGGGGGGCTATTTCTTAAATTTTTCTCATTGGTTTTACGCCTTTATTCATCTCCATTTTCTTCTATTTCCCACATCTATATTAACTTTAGAAGTTTTTGTTTATTATCTAGATAATTGCCCTCCTTTTTTTTTTTTTTTTGGTAGAAATCTCCAGCAAAAGATCAGAATTCGGGGTTTTGAGCGCTTGGGCAGGTCTTTGAATGTAAGGCTGAGATTTCTGCTCGATGAAAAAGAACGTAAGTAGGAGTGGAAGACTGTGATTATGTAACAGATATATTATTATTTTTCTTTAGAGAACCAGAAGAAAAAAAGAAAAAGAAAAAAGAAAAGAAAAGGTAAGACTTGGCATGAATTACCCTGCATTTTTCTGCCCATAACATTTCTGTATTTTAATACTACTTGCTTAACTTTTTCAGCAAGTCAGGTGATAAAAATGAAAACACAAAGGACCCAGAGAAGAAGAAGAAGAAAAAGGACACAGAGAAAAAAAAGAAAGAGGAGAAAAGCAAAGATAAGAAAGAAGAGTAAGCACTTTCATTGGCATGGAAATAGAATGAAATTGTGATAGGTTTTAGATGCAGGGATGGATTTCCATAATACAAAGTGAAAGAAACTTTATAGTAAAGAGCCCTGTATAAAGACTAAATGTCTTTCAACATTGAAAAATAAACATTTAACATAAATTATCAGAAGTGAATTAAAACTTTTTTGAATTTCCCTAAAATTAGCAATGGTAGCATTATTCTTAGTTGTCTCAAGAATTTTCACTGCTGTGGTTATTTTCCCTAAGCATTGGTAAAGATAACTTATTGCTGAGAAATCTTTAGGTTCTAAGGAGGATTAGGTTTCTAGGATCCTACTGTTATTTAAAAAACGGAAATAAAAATTTAATTTTTATTTAAATTAGATTCTTATAAGCAATGTGCAACCTAGATTTTTTGCACGCACAGATAGCAATAGGGTTTGTGCTCCTATGAAAATCTAATGCCTCTGCTGATTTGACAGGAGGCAGAGGAGCTCAGGCAATAAAGCTCGCTGGCCCTGCAGCTCACCTCCTGCTGTGTGGCCCACCCGGTTCCTAACAGGCCAAAGACCGGCACTGGCCCATAGCCCAGGGATTGGGGACCCCTGATCTATGCCACATTTCCCTCTCAGTGGCTGAAGTATACAACTGACTGCAGCATCTCAGTGTTGGGGACCCCGATCTATGCCACTATTTCTTCTCAGTGGCTGAGATACACAACTGACTGCAGCTTTGCAGTGAAACCAGGGCTCTAGTAAAAACCTAATATATGCTTTCATGTAAGACTAGTCATTTCATTATCTATCCACCCCTCACTAACCACTTTCTTATGACTAGCGCTCTTATGCCATGCTGATCTTCCCCCTGCAGAATGAGCTTCTCTGGCTTACTTCCATTTCTTAATTGTAGGCATAACGATGTTTAATATGGTAAACAAAAATGTTCTTGTATCTCAGTAACTATCCCCTTTATTTCTAATTGCTGCTAGGGAGAAGAAAGAAGTTGTGGTTATTGATCCCTCAGGAAACACATATTACAACTGGCTGTTTTGCATCACCTTACCTGTAATGTACAACTGGACAATGGTTATTGCAAGGTGTCTGTATATTTTTTTGTGTGTGTGGATTTCAGTCCACTTCTAGTTTCCAAGTTCACTGACTAAACAATTTGACTTAGAGCCTTTTAGGACACACCTTCTTTCTCTACCACAGGTGGTAAAGAGAGGCTAGATTATTCTCAGTGTGTTTTCCTGGGATCAGGAGGAGGTGCTTCAGTTCTCAATATAATTGGGTCTCCAGTACTGGGATGGGTGGAGGGGTGAGGGGAAGACTTTTATTTTTAAAATTTTTTAACTTTTATTTGAGGTTCTGGGTACATATGCAGGCTTATTATATAGGTAAATTCATGTCACAGGGGTTTGGTGCACAGATTATTTCCTCACCCAGGTATTAAGCCCAGTATCCAAGAGTTATTTTTTCCGTTTCTCTTCCTTCTCCTACCCCCCACTCTCAAATAGACCCCAGTATCTGCTGTTGGAGGGGAAGATTTTTAAACTTTTGGTTGTATAATAACTTAATTAGAACATCAGGAGAAACTATTTTCTTTGACCTATGAGAAAAAAAAAATGTTCCCAAATAGCGGAAAAAGATCACGGATTCCCTGCCTTTTATATGGTAAACACCTCACTCATCCAAGACCAAGCACAATTTCCTAACGCGTTTTGGGTAGAGATGGTCAGTATGAACCTGGTGATCAGTGTGTTTCACCCAACATATTTTGATTTTAGTTTTAGGCCATTTATTTTTTTAATTGATTTAAATATTTTTTATTTGTACAAGTGTATAGGGTACATGTGAAATGTTGTTACTTGTAGATAATGCATAGTGATAAAGTCAGGGTATTTAGGGTGTCCATTACCCAAGTCCAATACATTTTTGTTAAGTATAGTCTGCTATCAAACATTGAATTCATTCCTTCTGTCTTACTGTTTGCTTGTCCCCTTCAACCTACTTATTCTTATTGGATGTTTTTACAAAGCTGATTAGTGTTATGGAAACGATGTTGGAATTCAGAAGTGCGAGAATCAAAATCCAGCCACTCAGGGAAAGTTTCGGAAAAGCCATGGTTGGTTAAAGAACTCTAAGGTCCTCTCCTAGCCATAGCGTGCTGTGCTTTTCATCATGATAAAGAAAAGATACAAAGAGAACTTTTACTTAATTTGGCCCCCATTTCTTTTCTGTTTATACAAGTGTTTCTTTTTTTACAGAGCATGTTTTGATGAGCTTCAATCTGATTACCTAGAATATTGGATCGTTTTGGATTATGTGTCAGACATAGTCTATTTGATGGATATGTTCGTACGAATAAGGACAGGTAAATACATTTGGTTTTGAATATTTTAAAATTTCATGCTTTTATCTCTAGCATTGTAATTTGACATTTTCTAATCCAAGTGTTCCTCAAAGTAAACTCACAAAAGTCTGTTCTAGAGGAAAAGGCACAAGTGAAAGAAGAGTCACGATGTATACTCACAGGCATCGGCTACTCCAGCTGATTCAGAGGAAGTTACCAGGCAACATTTTGACTGTAGATGTGGCTTTCCTCCATTATCCTGTTCATTGGTTTTGTGCCAGGCAAGAGGAATAGAGAAAGCAGAAATATTCTTCCAGCTATAGGGGGGAGAGTAAGTGCTACCTAACAGGGAGATAATTTGGAGTCATGGGGGAAAATGTCATTGTCCTCAGCACAGCCATACTCGAAATTTTTAAAAAGACAGGAAAAATACACTTTACTCACCTTTGGTTTGTGGTGAGATATTATTGACCAGAGGGAATAGCTTTCTCCTTGAAGTATTTCTGTTAAATAGGTAGAAGCTCATCGTTTCTACCCTGCTCTCTACATGCCAATGTAGCTGGTATACATAGACTATAACCTATTAAGAATCATCACATAAAATCAAACATTTTTAAAATACTAGTATCCTGGAACAGTGCCTCACTTGCTCTGTCATATTTGTAGCTCTGTTAGCCAGTTTAGGAGAAAGCAAATCCCTTTTCTAACATAACATATCAGAGGGCTGAAATGCTGGGTTTTTAAAACACACGAGGCCCATGGTAACAGCACAGAAGGGAAGATCCCAAGTGTCTAAGGCAGCAAGAATGAGAGATGAAAATGCAGACTCAAGGACACTTCTGTTTCATTTGAAGGGGTAAGGCGAGAATATGAAAAACAGAAAGCACGGGGCAAGTATCCAAGTGTCCAGGGTAGGACTGGGATTCTGACAAGCCAGTGCCATGGGCTATTAGGCACATTGCTCGCGTGTTCAGGAAACCTCCTATGAGCTGTCTGTGGTGGGGAAAAAAACAACAACCCACTGTATGTTACTACACTCTCCATACAACACAATTCTGGTCACCAATATGATGTGGTGTTTCCTTTCCACACCAAGCAATTCTGTAACACCAGCTGGGTTAAAGTTTAACTGAATTCAGACACTAAGGGAGTTAGAACAGGCCCCACAGGTTAAGGGTGGGCTCTGTCTCCCAAGATGGTTCCCCACTTCGATGGCCAACTGTAAGCTTCAGGCTGTGGCTGGTGCTTCTGACTAACCAGCTATAAATTGGCGTTCCCACCCCTCCCTTGTGGGTGCAATCATTTGCTAGCACAACTTACAGAACTTAGGAAAACACTGATGTTTACTGCTTTATTATATTAGTAAAGGGTACGATCATGGTTATGGATGAAGAGCCAGATGAAGAGATACATAAAAGTCGGGAAGAATCATGAGAACAGGGGCTTCTGTCCCCATGGAACTGGGGTGTGGCACCCTCCTAGTTTGTAGATGTGTTCACCAACCTGATAGTCTTCCAAAGCCCATAGTTCAGGGATTTTTATAGAGGCTTCATCATGGAGGCATGATGGACTATTAACTCAGTCTCCAGTGCTTCTCCCTTTCCTGGATGAAGGGGGTTAGGGCTAAAAGTTCCAAGCTTCTAAATATAACTTAGTCTTTCTGGTGACCAGCCTCCATCTTGGATCTCACCAAGAGCTGCCTCATTAGAACAAAAGATCAAAAGACATTTTTGATTTCTTTCTTTCTCTTTTTTCTTTCTTTTTCTTTTTCTTTCCTTTTGCTTTTCTTCCTTCCTTCTTTCCTTCTCCTTCCCTCCTTCCCTTCTCTTTCTTTCCTTCCTTCCTTTCTTTCTTTCTCTTTCTCTCTCTCTCTTTCTTTCTTTTCTTTCTTTTTCTTTCTGTTTTGCTTTATTCCTTCTTCTTCTCTTAAAAGTAATATGGAGTTACCTAGGCTGGTCTCAAACTCCTGGACTCAAGGGATCCTCCTGCCTCAGCCTTCCAAAGTGCTGAGATTACAGGTGTGAGCCGCCACACGTGGCCAGAACAAAAGACAATTCTATCACCCAGGAAATATCAAGGGATAAGGAACTCTGTTTCAGGAACTGGGGTCAAGAACCAAATACCAGAACAAAAGGCACACTTAGGGTCAGGCACAGTGGCTCATGCCTATAATCCCAGCCCTTTAGGAGGCCAAGGTGGGCAGATCACGAGGTCAGGAGTTTAAGACCACCCTGGCCAATATGGTGAAACTCCATTTCTACTAAAAATACAAAAATTAGCCGGGCATGGCAGTGCGCGCCTGTAGTCCCAGTTACTCAGGAGGCTGAGGCAGGGGAATCACTTGAACCCACGAGGCGGAGGTTGCAGCAAGCTGAGATTGTGCCACTGCACTCCAGCCTGGGCTACAGGGTGAGACTCCATCTCAAAAAAAGAGATGCACTTAGTATCCATATTGCTTAGGAAATTATAAGAGTTTTAAGAGTTCTGTGCCAGAGACGAAATATATATATATTTCTCACAATATCAGAAGAACACTACTCATAAGAGGAATGGCTTCACCTGGATGAAGATGATAGACCTTGAGAAATTTGTACACTCTCACTTTTGCACTTATAAAATTTTACTTTTTCTTTCTTTTTTCTTTTTGTTTTGGAAACCGGGTCTCGCTGTTGCCTAGGCTGGAATGTAGTAGTGCTATCATGGCTCACAGAAGCCTTGAACTCCTGGGCTCAAGTGATACTCTGTTTTAGCCTCCCAAAGCGCTGGGATTACAGACATGAGCTGTCTGGCCAAAATTTTCCTTTGATTTCTGCCACAGAATATTTTCTACAGCCATAGGTTGATTGGTATTTGTATTTTATTACATTGTTAAAGGTATATTTATTGAAAATGAATTTTTCTTTTGACCTCAACAAAGTTAATTGACAGTAACTTCACAAAAATTCATAATGGCATAAAAAGGAGAAACACTGAATTGAATTTTTTTTTTTCTATTTTAGGTTACCTAGAACAAGGACTGCTGGTAAGGGAAGAACTTAAACTCATAAATAAATATAAATCCAACTTGCAATTTAAACTTGATGTTCTGTCACTGATACCAACTGATTTGCTGTATTTTAAGTTAGGGTGGAACTATCCAGAAATTAGATTAAACAGGCTGTTAAGGATCTCTCGTATGTTTGAGTTCTTCCAGAGAACAGAAACAAGGACAAATTATCCAAACATCTTCAGGATTTCAAACCTCGTTATGTATATTGTCATCATTATCCACTGGAATGCATGTGTGTTCTACTCTATTTCTAAAGCTATTGGATTTGGAAATGATACATGGGTCTACCCCGATATTAATGATCCTGAATTTGGCCGTTTGGCTAGAAAATATGTGTACAGCCTCTACTGGTCTACACTGACTTTGACGACCATTGGTGAAACACCCCCTCCTGTGAGGGATTCTGAGTATGTCTTTGTGGTGGTTGATTTCCTAATTGGAGTGTTAATTTTTGCTACCATTGTTGGTAACATAGGTTCTATGATTTCCAACATGAATGCAGCCAGAGCAGAATTTCAAGCAAGAATTGATGCTATCAAGCAATATATGCATTTTCGAAATGTAAGCAAAGATATGGAAAAGAGGGTTATTAAATGGTTTGACTACCTCTGGACCAACAAAAAAACAGTGGATGAGAAAGAAGTCTTAAAGTATCTACCTGATAAACTGAGAGCAGAAATTGCCATCAACGTTCACCTAGACACATTAAAAAAGGTACGCATTTTTGCTGATTGTGAAGCTGGTCTGTTGGTAGAGTTGGTCTTGAAATTGCAGCCCCAAGTCTACAGTCCTGGAGATTACATTTGCAAAAAAGGGGATATCGGACGAGAGATGTACATTATCAAGGAAGGTAAACTCGCTGTGGTGGCAGATGATGGAGTCACTCAGTTTGTGGTATTGAGCGATGGCAGCTACTTCGGCGAGATCAGCATTCTTAACATTAAAGGAAGCAAAGCCGGCAATCGAAGAACGGCCAATATTAAAAGTATTGGCTACTCGGACCTTTTCTGTCTCTCAAAAGATGACCTCATGGAAGCTCTAACTGAGTACCCAGATGCAAAAACGATGCTGGAAGAGAAGGGGAGACAGATTCTTATGAAAGATGGTCTACTGGATCTAAACATTGCAAATGCTGGCAGTGATCCGAAAGACCTTGAAGAGAAGGTTACTCGAATGGAGGGGTCAGTAGACCTCCTGCAAACAAGGTTTGCCCGAATTTTGGCTGAGTATGAGTCCATGCAGCAGAAACTGAAACAAAGATTAACCAAGGTTGAGAAATTTCTGAAACCGCTTATTGACACAGAATTTTCAAGTATTGAGGGACCTGGAGCAGACAGTGGACCCATTGACTCTACATAGAACAGAAAAGCTGGCCATTAACAGGGACATGCCTCATGATCATTTTGATTTGGTGACTGACATCAACTATAATTTAAAAGAAGAGGAAGACTCAGTTGGGTAATTTTTCCACGAGGAAAATGTGCTTTTGCGCAAGGTACAAGGCCTACACCCTCTCTGGGAGCTACTATGATTAAAAAAGCTTTTTATCTTGGAATTTTTCACAACTGATAATGTGCAAAGATATAAACTGATTAACTTGTCAGTATCTGTATCTTCTGAGTTTTTCACACATGCTCCTTTTAAGTTATAATCTTCATAAAAATGAATAAGTATCCCTCACTTTATGCCATTTTCATGTTGGGTGAAATGTATTTGAAGTAACTGAGAATTACCATGTATATCATGTTGGGGATGACATTTTTAAAAATTAGACTGTAATAAAGTAAAATTAATTATGCAACTGTAGTGAATATGAGTTATTTGATAATTTAGCAGGGAGTTTAGGATCTTGCAGAACTTCAGGGTCATTTTAAGAAAAATCAATCATTTGTGTAGTCTAGGAAGAGTGTTGAGAGAAGCTTTCTACCAATAAAAGCATGATAAATCAGACTTTATGAACATATACATACACATAAATATACAGATATATCACAATGAAAGTAATAACATATTTTAGGAATCTTTTATATTAAATTTTAAAAGTTTTCTGATTATTAAGACCTGACAGCAGTGGCTACTGTCTTACTTCTCTGCCTGGCCAGCAGTAAGAAAAAGGAATAAAGTAATAATATTTCTGGGTGATTACCAAGGGAAATTGTAATGTTAAAAAAGGAGACCTGACAGGCCTATGGACCAGCATGAGCATCACTTGGGAATTTCTCAGAAATGCAGAATCCTTGGCTCTACCCCTGCCTACTGTGTCTGAATCTGCATTTTAGTGTTTCATATCCACGTTGAAATTTGAATAGCATGTGTGTAGAGAAACAGGAAGTAGTTAATGGTAGGATGGTTCTAGAAAATAAAAATAAACTATCTGGAAAGTGTGTGGATGTGGAAAACATTGCTAATCAATCAGCCAGCTTCTACTGCTGAACCCAAGATGTGGTTCAAAAAAATCTTTCTTAACACAGATGACTAGAAGATTTCTATCCTTATCTATAATGACATTACTAAAGATGGCTTCTTGTTAATTTGACATTTTAGATATTTCAATGGCCCCTAATCAGGGTATATTTTATTCTATTGTACCAGTAGAACATGTATTGAACTATACATTATGTCTTTGAAGTCCTGTGTTTCCATTTATTTTGGCTGTTCCTTCAATATCAGCTGGCAGGGATTTCTTCACCATAGAAGTGTCTAGTCCTGGAGAGGGTGCATTGTGTATAATACTATAACATATTTCTACCTGACACAAGTTCTTCCTTTTCCTCTCTTTTCCTTCTTGTTCTTGTTATTACTTCTCTATCTGCATTTTGTTCTTTTTCTTTGTGCCATTTCTTGCCTGTTGTAAAAACCTCTAAGACACTGTAAAGAGGCTTGCTGGCTACTCATATCAGGAAGATACGGTAAGATAGGGAGAATAAGGGTTACGTATGTGGCTCATAGCTGGCTCCCAGGAAGAAGCATCTCTAATTACGGCATGCAGGACTGGGGTGAACACTTTGACTCTCATCTGGGTTAGAGATACAGCCAAGGGTTCTTATTTGGTGATCCCTGACCCAAGCTCTATAGTCTTGTTGATGCTTACCTTGGACAAGTGGCTGATTCTTGGCTCGAAGTCTTTGGGTAAGGAGAGTTTAGCCAACTATTTTTTTTTTCATGACTTCTCCATGTAGAGAGGAATCTGATGTGCTGAAATGGCACTGAGGGCTTTAGTTTACAGACACCTGGGGTGCAATGCAGGGGTTCATAATTGTATTTCAGCTTCATCGGGGAATTTTTCTTTTAAAGACAGGAAACATATAGCTTTAGGGGAATTCATGGTAAGTGCCGACTTGGGCACATGTGGATGCCAACACAGGAACTCACCTTTTAGCAACCCAGACACTAGCCATATTCCAAGTTGATTCTTGACTCCAACTGGTTGTCTGGAACTAGCATCTTAACAGAACAGGTTTGGCATAAGGACAGAAGTGAAGGTAGGGAGATAAAAGATAAAATCTGAAGATCTTTAATACCTGTATCTGAGAGGAGCTGGGACTCAGAGATGGTAGATCAGTAAGGGAATAGAAATTCAGTCTCTAGCCTTGCCAATATGTCTGGTGAGTGATTACCCTGCTCTTCTGCCAACTCTATATAATGTTCTTGTAGGAAGATACTGCTTTAACGTTTTACATGTACTTAAAAAAAAAAATTTTCCAACTTAAAATATGATGTGATTAAGCTTCCTACCATTAGGTGGCAATGTAGGTCTACAATTATTACCTTCAACACCCAGAGCTGTTTAGAGATTACAAGTGGTATAAATCAGGGCTCTTTGGCAATAAAAAGTAATATTTCTCTGACACAAATATTTCCAGAAGATCTTAGTATAGCAAAATATATACCAGCATGAACAGAAAACATGATCAAATAAAATTTAAAATGTGAATTCAGTGAATAAGGTAATAAGGTACACTGAAGCATTTGAGTATTTCTTAATTTCTGGAAGTTCACTAAGGGAATAATAATAATTGCATTACAAAAAAGCTTACAGATGTTTAAGACATGTTGTAGAGATAAGCAAAAGGGGGCAAAATGGAGTGAACGGCATTTATATTAAAATTAAATTTACATTTTTATTTTTAAAAAGTCCATTGCTTTAAAAAGTCTGAAAACTACTGATTTGTTTTAACAGTGTTGGAAGTAAGCCTACTTAGGACACTGTAAATTTAGGTAATGTTCTTCCTCATGTTAACGGAAACTGTGTTATTGGATACCCAAGTTTATAGACTGTTCAGAATATAAATATGAAACAACAGCTGTGTAGACTCAGAAGAAACAGTTTGATATTCCCTGAACTAGTTTATCTCTAGGTGAAGAAGAAAGAAAGTGAGGCATTCAAGGCAAGGGAACGGAGAATGTAGAAAGGCCTCAGAGATCATTCAGTCCACCCCTCCTCATTTTACAAATGCAAAAATGATGAACTTTTGAGTGAGAGTAGTTTATTTTTATTTTTATTTTTATTTTTTGACACAAAGTCTCACTGAGGGCAGCAGAAGGCAGCCAAATGCCTAGGCAGATGGGGCAGGTCCCCGGTGAAATCCCACCTCCAAGCCAAAGATAGTTTTAAGCCCAAAAGCCAAGCCACAGGTTAAATCCTCAGACTGGATTGAGAACATGTCGTCCCATTTGGCATGCTTTCTTCTGATTGGACCTCACCCTTCACCTACTTTACATATACCTACCCTTTTCTATTGGTTTTCTATACTGTTGTGCCCACCTTTGAGTGGTGCCTTCACTTTGATCTTTTCTGCATACTCACAAGCCAATTAACATGCACTTCCTATTCTGAGCCCATAAAAGCCTCCAAGATCAGCCATATGGGGGGACTTTTTCCAGCCTTCAGGTAGAGGAACCACCCCTACCTCTCCATATCCCCTCTTTACTGAGAGTTTTCCTTTCGCTTAATAAATTCTACTCCACTCACTGTCCAGTCTCCATGTCTCTAATTCTTTCTGGTCATGAGACAAGAACTTGGACCTACCTGAGCTAAGAAGCAGAAAGCCCACAACATCACTTCATCATCCAGGCTGGAGTGCAGTGGTGTGATCTCGGCTCACTGCGGCCTCAAAATCCCAGGTTCAAGGGATTCTCCTGCTTCAGCCAGTGGAGTTGCTGGGATTACAGGTGCAGGCCATCATCCCTGGCTAATTTTTGTATTTTTAGTAGAGACGGGGTTTCACCATGTTGCCCAGGCTGGTCTTGAACTCCTCAGCTCAAGCAATCTGCCTGCCTTGGCCTCCCAAAGTGCTGGGATTACAGGCATGAGCCACTGTGCCCAGCCAAGAGTGGGAATTTTTACCATACTTTTCAGAGTAATATGTTAATATCTGGTAGAGCCAAAGTTGGGAATGACCCAAACCCAGTAATTTTATTCTTAGATATAGTCACTAGAGAAAATGTGCCAGACATGCACAAGGAGATATGTTCAAGAACATACGTAATAGTAAAAATTGGACACAGCTTATCTATCTAAAGGAGACTAGATAAATAAATTGAAATGAATTTATACAACGGAATACTATACAATATTTGAATAGTAGCAGATAATATTCAGGTAGCGCTTGGTTTGTACCAGGCACTGTCCCAAATGCTTTCTAGATGTCAAGGCATTTAATCCTGGAAACAACTTACAGGTTTCACTATGTTACTTGTTTAACAGATGAGGAAACAGAGGCACAGAGAGGTTAAGTAATTTGCACAAGAGCTACAGAAAGTAAGTGGCACTACTGCTATTTGAACCCAGACAGCGTGGCTCCAGTGTCTCTTCTCCTCTGCTGTTGACCCTGTCATTTGTGCTGAATTTCCCCATACTCCAGCCCCCGGGATAGAATCTTACTCTGTCACCCAGGCTGGAGCGCAGTGGTATGATCTCAGCTCACTGCAACCTCTGCCTTCCAGGTTCAAGCAATTCTCCTGCCTCAGCCTCCTGAGTAGCTGGAATTCCAGGAGTGCACCACCATGCTGGGCTGCTGACTTTTGTATTTTTAGTGAAGATGGAATTTTACTGTCTTGGCCAGTGATCTTGATCTCCTGACCTCATGATCCACCCGCCTCAGCCTCCCAATGTGCTGGGATTACAGGCATGAGCCACCATGCTCAGCCTTTTTTTTTTTTTGAGATAGGGTTTACTCCCCTCACCCAGGCTGTAATGCAATGTCTATGATCTCGTCTCACTGCAACCCCTGACTCCTGGGTTAAAACGATCCTCCTGCCTCAGCCTCCTGAGTAAGTGGGACTACACACAGGCACATGCCCCCAGGCCCAGCTAACTTTTGTATTTTTTGTAGAGTTGGAGTTTCACCATGTGGCCCAGGCTGATCTTAACTCCTGAGCTCAAGCGATCTGCCCACCTCTGCCTCCCAAAGTGCTGGGATTACAGGCGTGAGCCACCGCGCCTGGCCAGTGCTGACTTTTATACGTACACACAATATCACCTATACAAAATTTACAAACAAATAACACAGTATTAAATCATGTTTATGGATCTGTACATATGATGTAGAAGTTTAATATCAGCCAGGAGAGTGGCAGAAATCAGAACAGTGCTTACTTCTGTGAGGGATGAAGGACAATGAGATGGGAGGATGGGTGAGAAATACCGAGCACTTCAGCTGTCTGTGCTGTTTCGTATCTTTTAAAACCATCTGAAACAAATGGATCCAAATGTTAAGGTATGATAAAGCCAGGTACAGATATCTGTATATTGCTCTCTATAATTTTTGGTATGTTTGAATTATTTCAAAAAAAATAAAA